CCCCAAAACCCCAAAACCCCAAAACCCCAAAACCCCATTATCATGATGAAATATTGAAATATTTATTATTTTTGGGCAAGTGTCCTCTTCCTCTTTCCATCTCTCCTTTTGACCTGCCTCTTCTTCCCTTTCTTTGCCTTTTTCTTATTTTCTACATCTGGAGCGGAGTAATCTACCAGAATTGTTTTGTTCAGCAGATGATTATTCAGTTTTCCATTTCCAAACAATGCTTCATTCAGATATTTCACATTTGTCGGGTTCAAGAAGGAAGACTTAGAAGAGACATGAGCTAAGTTTTTGTACTGCTTCATGTTATGGAAATTCTTCTTGAGAACGCCAATCTTTTTATCCTCTTCCTTTTTCACCCTCTTTTTCTTTATGTTTTGCTCTTCTTCAAGCTTCTGTTCTCTTCTTGTTTTCAGGTTTTCCATTTCAGCTAGCCCAGCCACTTCTTTCTTAAGATCATCAGTGATTGGGATGCCTGTCTCCTCAGATACTTTAAGAAGCCAGTTAGCTCTGATGCTGTTCTTCTTTTTGTCAAACATAGCTTTTTCTAAGTCTTTGGCAGTGTTTACAAATTCTTTGTATCTTTCCAGCTCAACCAAATTGATCTTCAGAGGAGTGATGTACTTGTCAAAGTTGACGAGTGATTCTTTACCCTTTAAAACAGTGTAAATAAGTTTGAACTTCTTCTCATCCTCTGGAGCGAATAAGGAGAAGGTAAGACCTTTACTACCCATTCTGGCAGTTCTTCCACTTCTGTGCACATAAACCTCGGCATTCATAGGCATTTGATAATGAATAACGTTATCAACATTTGGAATATCTAGTCCTCTTGCTGCTACATCTGTGCATACTAGGACTGCAGTTTTATCTTTCTTTTGCTCTTCTTCATATACTTTAAGTTGCTCAACATCTCTCTTGAACCTATCTAAATGCTTGAGTCTTGCTCTCTGCTGCATTTTACTATGTAGGCATCTATGAGTTATCTGTAAAATATTCATCATGCTGCTCAACCTCTTAATGCATGTAATAGAGTTTACAAAGATGATAGTACTCTCACCCATATGATTCTGTAAGAAATAGTAAGTGTACAAGTCCTTGTCATCATTAGTACATCTGTGATACTTTTCAACAAGTCTTGATGGCATCTTTGTCTCATTAGTGAGGTTAATCACTTTTGGCTTTTTCTGTTTAAACCTCAGCTTCTTGCAAATTTCTTCCAAAGCATCAAAGTCTTCTAATCTTTTGTTTTTCTTGCCTTTCTTGGTAGGTCTGATCCTTCCTTTAGCGTCAAGAGTTAAAGTAGCTGAGCAAACTATGGTCTGGATTCCCTGACTTTTCTGTACAAATTTTTCTGATTTAGCACCCTTCTTCTCTTTCTTACCAACTCTCATTTCCTTATGATTGCTCTTCTTTTTCTTTTTACCATTGGTCATTTCCTCTTCAATGTTATTGAGTTGTTCATCATCAATCACTAGTTCCTCCTCATCAAATTCTCCGAGCTCTTCTCCAAGGTCCTCTGCTTGGTCTATCATAGCCTGGATTTCAGCACTGTTCTGAGAAGTCTCAAGATTTTTGCCCATCTTGAACTTTGATTTGATATTTAGGATGTCTGAGCTCTTCATCACAGTTTGCTTGGCCTCTTTCTCCTCCTCAGTCTCGTTCTTTCTCAGTTCAAGTTCTTCTCTCTTAATGTAGATGAAGTCGAGGATAAAGTTCATTTCCTTGAAATGACCGATTTCAACCATTCTGTCTGCCTCGTCAAGGACTAGGACTTCTAAGTTCTTTGGTAAGCTTGAAGTCAAGTACTCATTGTTGGAGTCATCAATAAGCTCCCAGACTCTTCCTGGAGTTCCAATGAGGATTGTTGGTCTGTACCCAAGTTTTCTTTCCTGCTTCTGCAGACTCATTCCTCCAATGAGTTCACATGAAGTTAGGAACTTCTTGTAATCATCAGGAATAATTTTATGCAAATGTTCTTTTATCTGAATTGCCAATTCACGAGTAGGAGTAAGAATTAACGCTCTAGTTTCATTAAAAATCTCTTTCTGAATATCTTTAACCTTAGAGACATCACTATCAAGAGTCAGACCATTCTTCTCCAACTGCTTTTGAAACTTATCAATTAAGTTATTGAGTATTGGAAGCAAGAAACACAGAGTTTTACCCTCACCTGTTCTTGCAGAGATAATTAAATCAGAGTGGAACTTAACATGCTTCAAACTCTGAGCCTGTACCTCGGTAGGGTTCTCAAAGCCTGCTTTCTCGAGTGACTCGAATAGTACAGGATTTAGGTCGAACTCAGACCATTCATAAGTATTATCTTCACTTTCTGATGACATATTAGATCGTGTTTTAAAAATAATTCCAATTATTTTCACGATGTTAGGGGTTTTGGGGTTTTGGGGTTTTGGGGTTTTGGGG